GTGGAGCGCCCCGGCCGGGCCATGTGGGCTGTGTTTGTACACACATGAGTGACCCGCGGGTGGGTGCGGAGCCAGCGCCGCCACCGCGGCTCCCTCGGCCCGCCCCGCGCCGCCAGCACCGGCCGTAAGTACCGGCCGCTCCGCTTTCCCCCCCGCATTCCCAACGCCCGCTTCTCCCGCTGGATGCCCGGGCTTTGCAGGGCAGGAATCGGCCCCTGGCTCGGTGCTGGGAGGCCGGGAATGTGTTTTGGACCCGTGGAAAGGTGTGGGCAGGAGCTGGCGAGGCTGGAACGCGGCGAGCATTCCCTGCCCTCCCACAGCTCCAGCGGGATTCAGGGAGGTTTCTCCCGGCAGCGCTTTAGGAGCGGGATGGGGCGCTGGGACACGTCCATCCCCCACCGGGAGGACGGGGGGGAATTTTTGCTCTGGCAAAGCGAGGGAGAGCGTGCGGGCTCTGGAAAGGCTGGAGCTGCGGCTCGTCCCGGCGGATCCCGGCGAAAACAACCTCCTACAAAGCCTCTGTTGTGCTGCTGGGAGAGGTCTTGGCATGTCCCGCGCTGCTGACGCCGGGGCCGAGAGCGCGGCCGGGCATTTCCAGTCCAGCTCCTCTCGCCCTCCTTCGGGGCCGACAGAAAAGTCGGAGCTGCTAATTATTAACCGCTCAAATATTCCCTCCGTCCACGGGCACCGGCCGCGGCTGGCGGGCAGGGATGTGCCATGGGGTGGGATGTGCCATGGGGTGGGATGTGCCATGGGAAGCAGAGCTGCCCCACCCGCGCTCCAGGCTCTGTGCACCAGGCACAGGGACGCTGACAGGGACACGGGGACGTGCCAGGGCTCCTCTCCCCGCAGAGGGTGGAAGTGGTCTCAGGTGGGAACATTCCCCAGGTGAACCTGGAACGACCAAAGGCTCCTGGGCTGGACCTGCAGCTGCAGTGCCGGGACATCTCCACGGGCTTCGCGTGGGGCTGTGGGGGAACAGCAGGGAGGAGGAGGAAGAGGAGGCAAAGGAGGAAGCAGAGGTGTCGCACCAGCCGGCCGAGCCCGCAGCGTTTGTCACCCGCCCTTGGCAAGGAGGTGACTCGCAGAGGGCACGGCCCCGCCGTGCCCCCGTCCCTCATCCCAGTCCCGGCTCCCGGTGGGAACAGGCAGCCGGAGGAGGAGGGAAAACGAGCCGAAGGAGGAGGGAAACGCGGCCCTGCAGGGTGTGCCCGGTGCTGCTGCGCCCGCGGCTCCGGTGACTCATTTTGCTTTAAAAACACAAATTCTTGGGTAAGGCTGGGCCGGAGCCTCCCGCGGCTTCCCGGAGCTTCCCGGAGCAGCCGGAGCTGGACGGGCATGGGGTTGGATCCCTGCTGGGGATGGGGTTTGGCTGGGGGGAAACCGGGGGCTCCCAGCTCAGGGCTGTTTGCAGACCGGGCTCCTGCAGCCCAGGACGTGCCTCTGGAAGAGCTCTGGGAGAGCTCGTGGCCCTGGGAAGGGTTTTGTGTGACTTCCCAGAGATCAGGGACATTATTGACATAATTTTCATTCTGTCCCATCATCGCCCTCCTTGGTGTTGGTGTCAGACCTGGTGGGCACGGGCAGAGCCTGGGCTGGGCTGCCCTGGGGGGCTGGAGATGCAAATATCCAGGGCAGCCCTCTCCCCTGGCTCCGGCTGGGTCACAGAATCCCAGAATTCCAGAACAGTTTGGGTTGGAAGGGACCTTAAAGCTCATCCCATTCCACCCCTGCCATGGGCAGGGACACCTTCCACCAGCCCAGGATGCTTCAGTCTGGCCTTGGACACTTCCAGAGATCCAGGGGCAGCCACAGCTTCTCTGGGAAACCCTTTCCAGGGCCTCCCCACCCTCACAGCCAGGAATTTCTCCCCAGGATCCCATCTAACCCTGCTCTCTGGCAGTGGGAAGCCATTCCGTGTGTCCTGTCCCTCCATCCCTTGTCCCAGACCCCTCTCCAGCTCTCCTGGAGCCCCTTTAGGCCCTGGAAGGGGTTCCAGGGTCTCTCTGGATCCTTCTCTTCTCCAGGCCGAGCTCCCTTGGCCTGTGATGGGCTCTGGAGCCACTGCAGGATGCAGGTCCTGTTTCCAGTGGGATCCCAGGGGGATTCAGACTCCTTGGAGCTTTGAGGCAGCACGTTTGGAGTTCAACAGCCCAGACAAAGCTCCTGCTTTAAGTCTAATCTTTAACCAGAGGCACTGCCAGTTTTATTTTATGTCTGTTTATTGCTCTCTTGCCTCGTTAATTTTTTCCCTCCCTTCACCACCTCCCTCTCCCGGCCCTTCCCGGGAGCCCACGGCCTTTTCCCGGGGCTGCTTCTCACCGGAGCTGCTTGGCCGAGGGAAGAGGTAGAGCACGGGAAGGGAAGCACAGGGCAGTGCCAGGGGCTGGCAAGGGGCAGCACAGGGGGTTGTTTGGGGCTGGCTCTGCAGCACAAGGACGTGCCAAAGGCTGGATCCCGGCGTGTCCCGCTGGGGAGTTCCGGATGGCTGGGGGGGCTGGAATGTCAGCCCAGGAGCAGCTCCTGGGAGGTTCTGCCTCATGGCTCCGTGGGCTGGAGGGCTCAGACACCTCTCAGGGTCCTGGGGGAGCAGAGGGTTGGATTATCTTGGATCTCTGGGATCCCTGTGGGACCAACCTGACCCAGCCCCTGGAGCTGTGGGCTCCCTTCCCACCCCCTTCCCTCGCTCCAGGTGCTCCCTGGCAGGGGGAACAAGGGAGAATTTCATGTTTTTCCCCTTTATTTCACAGACTGGAGGTGGAGGCAGAGGCAGGAGAGGTGGCAGTGCCGAAGCCAGCAGTGGGTAAGACCTGGAGCTACTCCGTGTGCCGGGATGTTCCCTGGGATGTGGGAAAGGTGACCCTGTCCTGGAGCTGCCTGGGACCCCGTGTCCCCCTCCCCAAGACGTGTCCTGTCCCCCCCAGCCCCTTCCCTGCCTGCTCCCCCAGCCCAGGCTGCCTGTGGGACCTCGAGGTGCTCCAGGGATGTGGGGCTGTTCCCATTCCCCCCAGCTCTGTTGGGATAACAGGGATTTCTGTCCCTGTGGGATGTGCTGACCTTCTCCCTGGGCTCCTTTTGGGCACGGGGGGTAGGAGGGATCCCAGCACCCCTGAAGGGATGGATGCCCCCTCCCCTCTCCTGTGCACATCTCCAGGATGTTTGTCCCCCCCAGGACACCCATCCTGACCCCGGGACCACCACTCTGGGCGTCCCAGGTGCCCGCAGGCTGTGAGCCGTGCCCGGGGGGGATGTGAGGCACCGCCGGGCTCATCCGCAGGGAGGCTGATCCGGGAGATCCCTCGGAGCGGGATCGCGACCCGAGCCATGCTGAGCCTCAAACTGCCGCGGCTGCTCAGCATCCACCAGGTGCCGAAGGTCAGCCCGGGGCTTCCCCTCCCCAAACCTGAGGCTCGGAGGGGCTCGGGGGGCGCAGCATTCCGGGGGGGTCACAGCTGTGTCCTGTGTCCTGGATGACGGGCACCCCCCTGGATGCGGGGCAGCCCGTGTCCTGCCTGCCCCTCGGGCTCGTCCCTCTGCCCACTCGCGGTGCCGTCGGTGCCCCCAGGGATACCGGGAGCAGGGGATCCTGTTCGGGTACCGCCCCCCCCGCAGCTCGGCCACCGACTGCCTGCTCAGCGTCTTCCAGATGACCAACGAGACCCTCAACATCTGGACACACTTCCTGCCTGCCTGGTGGGTCCCACGGGGGGCTCTGCAGCACCCGGGGCTGGGGGGGGTGTCCCACGGGGGGGTGGGGGTGTCCCAAAGGGGGGGTAGGTGTCCCAAAGGGAGCTGGGTGTCCCCCAGGGTGATCCCACCTCCCTCCACCCCACAGGTACTTCGTGTGGACGCTGCTGGGGCGGCTTCAGGGGGGCTGGGAGGACCCCCAGGCCTGGCCCCTCCTGGCCTACCTGGCGACCTGCTGCATCTACCCGCTGGCCTCCAGCTGTGCCCATACCTTCAGCACCATGTCCACCCGCGCCCGCCACCTCTGCTACTTCTGCGACTACGCTGCCCTCAGCACCTACAGCCTGGGTGAGGGCATGGGCTGGGGAGGGCATGGGATGGGTGAGGGCATGGGCTGGGGAGGGC